GAGTTGACACATGTGTAAGACGAAAAATAGAGAGGAAACGTAACAGAATTTAGCACACAATTTTTTGGGTTCGGGAAATTTAAATTAACATTTTTATATATTCATTTATTTATTATATTTACTTATTTTTTTTTTATTTTTTTTTTTTATTTTTTTTTTTTATTTTATTTTTTTTTTTTTTTTTTTGGTAAAGTTTTTTTTTAATACTAGCGGGCGGGTTTGACGAGCATTTAATTTATTGTGGTTTAATCAGTGCAAGTCGATTTATGTATATCTTCAATCGCAAGTTTGAATTCATGGGCGGATACAGATAAGGGAGAGGTTTGGAATCCCGACATCTCCGCTTGATTTCTTATTTATAGAATACTGATATGTATTTTGTAGTCAAACGGAAACTTGCATAATTCATAAAAGCCTTGTTCCTGTGAACTTTAAATCAATTTTTATTATTTAGACGAGGAAAACTGAGCTACCCCGTAAATATCCTAAACGTCCTCAAAATCAATATAGTTGACTATACCATTTTCCGCTTGAAAAGTTGACCTTTGAACTTTCATTCATTTATATGTAAAACAGAGAGCAGTTGTGTTTCATTCATTAATTTTCCTTATTTATAGAACAGTATTCCGCTATCACCTATATACTCCTTTACAGTGTATGTCTCCCAACTGATCATGCGTACAATCAATTAAAAACCAAGGCAGGCTACTGAAGGGTAAGTTGATGTTACATATTACACTTCAGGAACCTCGATATTATACCGAGTATTTTATAAGTTTTATGGTCATCATAATGTGAACAAATGTAATCTATCGTCGGGTTATTTATTTATATTGACTGAATTTCAGGAATTTAATTTTTCATAAAAGTTATGTAAGGCCCTTGTTTTTATGCTAAATTTTCAAAGTAATATTTTTGCCTAGAATAACAATACACGTCGCGTTCACGGCGACAAGGGATGTTTACTTCTCTCAGACACCTGCTTCCATTTCTGGAATTTCCAGGGGTCGAGCTGTCTATGTATCCTGTTCACATTAGCTGCAGAACTGTAGCTCTCCGAAAAAAAATAATGCCAGACCGGAGAGTGTCAATATATTTTTTTTTTCGGAAACCTACAGTTCTGTAGCTAATATTTATATTTTTTAAAGGTCGATCACTGTTCGCATTCTTAAGGTTTTTTATTTACTTCTCAGCAAATACCGATTTTCTTATATAAATAAAGTCGAATGCTGACTAATATTTTTCATACCTTTACACACTGAATTGTCTACGGATTTTGTCGTTTTCCCCGTTCATGACAAGGAGCACACAGCCATGACAGCGGTTGAGACAGATCTGCAGGGGCTGTTTACTCCTTAATGGTACCTGATCCCGTGTCTGATGGTTTTAGTGGTCCTTGTTTGCTCTGTTTCTGATATGTATGGACTTTTGAACATGAGTTCTGTTCGTTATCTTACTACCGGTATTTCATTATACAAAATTTACAAATATTTTAAGAAATTAATACAAGCAGCGAACTGTAATTTTACTCTTTAGTCTCTGTCCAGATCCATAGAGCGTTGGGGAGGGGAGGATGTGTGGAACAGGGAGCAACTCCCGCTTTTTTTCTCTATAGATTTTTTCAATTAGTTTCCACTCTTTATTTATTTTTTTTCTCTCCCTTTTTTTTGGGGGGGGGGGGGTTCAAAACCGTTGTTGTTATACCCTTAAAAATCCTATACAATTCTATACTTTAAAAAAGTCTAACATTTACGACGTTTAACTGAGCGGTCACAACAAAAATCAATTTTGACCCCGGAGTGAGATGTTAGACCGCTTAGCGGCTTACGAACGCATGTCACACAATAGTGTCGGGTTCGCGATTCCAAAAATTAATGTTTGTCAGGGTTTGTTTACAAATCGGTAAATCAATGGTAAATTTCTCAAATTACTTAGTCTAAAAATCATTTTGCGTAAGTAACCTGCAAAATTAATATATATCATACAAAATTGTATAGTTTGGTCTAATATTTTTCTATCAGACTTATGATAATATGATCTAAAGGATTTGTTGGTGTAACATATTTCTAGCCTTGTACGATATGGTTAGTTATTTGAGCATATTGTATTTTTTTTAAGTATATGTAAATAATTAGATATTTTCTTTGATTTGTCGCAATCTTTAAAAAATAATACTTTCATTTTAAGACGTCTTTCTGTCAATTATATTATACATGTAATACAGAATATATAATTCGAATTACAATCTAAGGTTCACTTTCATATTTGTCCCTGCAGGGTGTATTTTTTCTTTGCAAAAGCGTGTTTAGTCACTTTAAAAAATTACAGGGGTGGGGGGTATTATATTTATGTTGATTTCTTTTATTTGAAAGATTGGCTATGTCTGCAGTTGTAATCTCATTTTTATGTGACAATGGCAATGCTCTTGATTGTTAGTCCAAAATATCTGACGTTTTTCAGGCTTTTTCACTATTTTGATATTTTACATGCCAAGAATGAGGAAATCATCAGAACTGGTGTCATAACTAAAAAGTGAAATTTTGCCATTCCCAAACTGAGTTGATTTTCAATACTTGCGAACTGAAATAAATGCCGAAATCAGTATTTATCAATAGCACAATGCTTCTATAGTAATCAACAATATTGGTGAAAGGAAAACATCACCTCACATTTCCATATAGGACTTGCAAGATTTTGATATGCGAAATGAAGACAAATCTTGACAGCCTTATAAAATATGTTCATCGGATTTTATATTTTATAAATGAACTATCAAAAAGATGTTGGCATGTACTAAAAGTATTGTACTATTGATAGCTTTTGAGTTTTGAAATTAATTTGGGTTGCAAGTATTTAAAATCAACCTGACAATGGCACCTATGATTGAAGCAAAATTTCCAGTTTTTGTAATGGCACCGGTTCTGATGTTTTCCTGGCAGGTAAAATATCAAAATTGTTAAAAAGCATGGAAAACGTCAGATAGTTCGGACTATTGATCGTCAATAATTAAATCTGTGCAAGGGCCCATTCCCATGCACTTAAAAAAGGTACAATATTTACAAACTGAATATGTTAGTTTTCTCATTTGCTGCCCCCCCCCCCCCCCAAGAAAAAATAATAGATATGTAAGTACTGTAATTACTAAGTTAAACTTGCTATTCATATCTGTTAATTTGTATTGCAAAACAAAAATTTGATAAACAACAAAAACCAAAAACCCTGACTGTATACATGTACATATATCACAATTTTAATGTACTTGTGTAATAATTTTCCTTAAATTTAACTAAAGATAAAAGATCAATCTTTTTTCAATTTTTATGGCCCATACCCCATTTCTGAAAAGCAGTGTCAGAGCTCTGCATGATATTTTTAATAAAGTTCAGAATTCAAATAGTACATTTATGAGGCATAGTGTGTTTCTGGCCTTTAATTGAGTTAAATTTGAAAAGTGATCAAACATGGAAATGTATTATTATTATTATTAGGATAATTTCCTTAAAAAGACATATATTAATTTTTAATTAAATTTACAAAGTACTTTCCTTTTTAAACAGGAATTTTGTTAGTGTATAGACTTAACCTATTTCAATATTGATAAGTTGAACATGATCGAATTTCCCACTTTGATCCATTGAAATAATTAACTGCTTGAAAATCTATGATCACAATATCTTCCTATTGAGACCACATGCTACAAGCAAAAAAGAATGCCTGGATTGGTTTATATTTGTTATAACTGTATTAATTGAAAATGATTATACATCAAAATGATTGAAAAAAAATGAAAATAATTTCTACAACATTATTCATTTTGCCTTTAAACAAATGCCAGTAAGTCGATCATTCTGTACTACTTTCTTTTTCAATTACTGGGTATCTCTTTCTTACATATTAAAAACACATGCATTCAAATTATTTTCTAAGAAAATCTGAATGAAAAATGAAATGTAATTGGATTTTGTTATATGTGGTATTTATTGTCATAATTTAAACATATAGTTACACCTCATTATCTCAAACTCAATGGGACTGAGATAAAGGTTTGAGATATACATGTCTTTGAGATACTGAACTTAAATTATACTTAGATGAAGAAGATGGAATTTACAACTGACTTTAAGATATTCATAGTCTTAAAGATATTGAAGTTTAACTGTACATTTAAAAATATTTTCTTTGGAGGGAGCTTAGTACTTTAATTAGTTTAAAGTATGAGCACTTTAAAAGTATGAGACTTTAAACTTTAAACTGCAAAGTACTATGTTTTTAATATACATATATGTGCACTTTCTACATGTCCTACAATTGACAGTGGGTGTAGTATCAATTGAATTTGTTTGAGGAATCATGCATTTATTTAAAACCATTAACTTGCACAGGACACAAGTAACAGAGCTGACACACACAATTGGCAAATGGGGGCATGGAGGTCTGTCCTTTGGATGAGACTGTATAAACTGAGGTCCTCTGTTACAGTAGGTGTTGGCCTGAAAAAGATCTCTCACTGCTCGACAGCCATGAGTACTGAGTACAAGTATAAATTTGCAGCTCTCCATCAGCAAGTGGTGGTGTCTCCATATCAGTGAAACATTCTCAAGAGGGACACTGAAATCAATTAAGCCAGACCAAAAATTTCTTGATTTTATTTACAGGGCAGCTACTCATACTTTGGAATCTATAGAAAAAGTTGATAAAAATTGATCTTTTTCATGTTAGGGACTTTTTTGTGATATGTTTCCTCAATCTATTAGCATGATTAGAATAAAGATTAATTCATGCAAAGACTGACTATTTTTAATTTTTTAGAAGAGTCAGGGAAGGGGAAATTCCCAAGTGACTGTCATTGTCATGATCTTTTTTGTGCTCTAAAATTTCCTTCCAGGCCAAAAAAAAAATTTAAGATAGAAATAGAATGCAGGGTCTGTTACTTGCTTTAATTATGGTTTTGGTACTTTTGAAATAAACGTATATAATATGCATCATTCTTTTAATTTTAGAACAAATGATCACCTGTTACAAAAGACTGAATACAACTTAAAAAAATGAAAATGGAACCGAGGACAATATTCAATTGTGTTGGGGGGTAAACGTCCAGAAATATGGACGTAATTCCACAAACACCTTACGAACGACTTGCACCACTGCGAAATGATTACAACAAGCGATTACGGACATTTGAACACCGGTGGCCCAGTGGCGTACCGGTCACTCCCCAAGCATTGGCTCAGGACGGATTTTATTACACGGGACTTGATGACAAGGTACAATGTACTCATTGTGGGGGGATCCTCAGTGGGTGGTGCGAGGGCGACGTCGTGACCATCGAACACAGACAGCACTTCCCTAACTGTCCCTGGGTGCGACAAGGAGGCATGCACAATGGCTACACTCCAACTTCTCCCCTGCCTTCTAATATGGCAAATTTATCAGGATTTAGTGTCAGTCAACAGACACCTTCAGGTGAAAATTTTAACTTTCGATACGAGTCGTCCCACGGACCTACCGACGTTCCTGGTGTCACTCGACCTAAATTTCAGAATTATACCATGGAAGCTGCGAGGAAAGCTTCGTTTACAGGATGGCCAACGCAGATCACACAAAGACCTGAAGTTCTCTCTAAAGCAGGATTTTTTTATTTGGGTAAATTTTTTCGAAATTTTTTTTTCTCCAGAACAGTAATTAAACATAATGATACAAATAGCATCCTCAGGTAGTTTACATTCTTGAAATTCAGTTAAGTTATGGCCCCTTGATTTTGGTTGGGACTACATATTGGGATCAAATTTTCCCTAAAAGTACTGTAAACGTATTAGTTTTGTGATGTATTCTTTTTAGAAATTTTGACGGTAAGCAGAATCCACTTAACCTGGTAATCAGTTTAAGTACATCTTGTACATTGCTAAATATGTTTTGTATATTATACATTATATCTACACACTCAGATAGCACAAAATCAAATTTACCCTAGTTACCTGTTGAAAAATTAATTTCCGCCAAATATCATACACACCTATTATCAAACATTACAGAATAATGAAGAACAGCAGAGTCTGGGTGACTCAGATGAGCCCTGCTGTTGCTCACAAACCTCTTTTTGACTAACTTTTTAATGTTTTTTTTTTAAACAGGTGAGGGGGACAAATGTAAATGTTTTTACTGTGGGGGGATTTTGTGGGACTGGGAGCCAGGGGACGACCCCTGGGTGGAGCACGCCAAATGGTTCCCAGACTGTCCCTGGATCAAACTGGCCAAGGGAGACCAGTTTATTCAACAAGTACAGGAGGTAATTATACAAAAATTGTGAATATTTTTGTTTGTCCATTCAATATGTTCAAAACTAAATTTTCAAAATCAACATGATCAAAGGATACTGCATAAATCAGAGAATTAAACAGCTTCCTATTTATTTGTGCATCTGCCGTCACTGAACTTTGTAAATTTACATTATGTGTATGTTCACATCAGAGCAGGGGTATTACTAATGAGCATTGGTTCACAGACTTCTTGTCGTTATTATTTTCAAATTTATATTTAGTTAGTCTATTTCTTGAAAAATAAAAAGTTAGATTTTTTTCCCCCAATGTTGGAGATGCAAGGGAAATAACTTTTGTATGTCTGCAAAAAACATTAACCTTGGCCATAACTTCTGAATAGTTATTGCTATAGAGCTGCCTTATACAGCTGCCTTATATGTGTATTCACTTGTTGTTTTACGATTTTTGGCACTATACTTAATTTTTTATTTTGGCAGACATTTGATTAATTAATACAATGTATTTACAATGCCAAATAGATTATTTCAAAATATTTTTGATTCTAATTAAAGATTAATGGACCTTTTTTTTAAAACTGATTTGAATCTTTTCATGGTTATAAAATTAAAACCTTAATCAATGTACATGATGCATTCAATATTTCTTGACCTTGTGGAAGACGACAACATATTCATTTAATAATTAAGAGATATAATTGAAAGAAGAAATAATGAGACAAAAATTCCTGGGTAAACAATTAATTGCATAGAAAGTAGAAATAATAACAAAAAATCTTTAACTAAAATTATGAAAAAAAAAATCCTTTATTATTTAGCTAAAGGGAAGATTTTAGGAGGTTTCCATGTAAAAAAAAAAAATACCCATGAAGTAGACAATTGAAGTTTACAATTTCAAACTCCACAACACGTTTTAAAAGTTAAAATGAACAGGACAAAAATACTCTTAAACAAATCCTTTATGTGTCACTTGCGTGTTATTGTCAAACTTACTACAAGTAAAGTACATGACCAGCATATTTTGTTGTTATCAATGGAAAATAAAATGGAAAACAGGATACTCAATTAAGAAGCAATTAAGTTTAAGATGTACTAGGTAGTAAACAGGAAAGACGATCATTTGTCCACTGTAAGACAAATACGTATGAACTATGCTGCCCTAATTTCCTTTTACGTCAGATGCATAGGGATAAAATTCTTAATTGAGTTCAGTTATGTTTGTTTTGATAAACCACACACAAATAAATGCACAAATTTTCATCTAATCCTTAATGCATTTAAATGAAGTAAAACCTAGAAAAATCCCCTTCAATAGGGTAGAAAATGGGCGGAAAAACTGAAAAGGACGTGAGATTACACCCACAACCAGGAAGCATGTGTATTTCATTCATATGGGATGTTTTAAGGAAGTGAATTCCATATGAAATTGAACTATAACATGCTTACACCTTATCTGTTGATAACTGTGTACAATAGTCAACTGATGTCTCCTCCTCCAGCTCCACAAAAAGTTATTTCTTCATGAAATATTTCTGTCTTTAAAATATTAAATTTTTTTAATGGACAACTTAAGTTAACATTTATCTTTATAAAGCATAATATGTATGAATATGATGCAAATTTTCATTTTCTAAATATTCTGAAGATGTTTAGGGTTCTCTGCATACTAAATGTTATCTGTAGTTGGTATTTACTGAATATTTCACTATAATACCAGTTACTTAAAAAAAAATGAGGGAAAAGAAAAATTATATATATGGTAAGTATGCAAACTAAATTTTAATCATACATGTGAACAATTTTGAAAATGTTATACTTTTTTCCTTTAAAGGAAATGAACAGAATGCAGATTGATGACGAAGTTAGCCATGGTCCCATAGGTTTGTATATTGTATATTTCGTAAATATTGATATTTTAACCTTATTCCTTATATGTATTCACACATTGTGTATGCAACAATATGAGTCTAAATTCAATTAAAAGTTCAAAATTTGATTTTTAAAAAAATCAGAAATATATATTTTTTATCACTCATTACATGTAAACTTCTAGTATTAAAAATATTTCTCACAAATGGAGAACTTTAATTATTTTGGTAGATGTGACAAAAAATTCCCTGTATATCATAATTTATAATTTATATCTTTTTTTCATTGAAATAGCCCAAGAGACTAGTGTTAAAGAAGTTGATCCCTCCCCATCTTCGGTATCAGATTATGCAGCTTCAGGCCCCTCTTCTTCCGCAGCAGCAGGGGCCAGTAAAATACCTGCAGCTGAGTCAGCGGCAGCGGGAACCAGTAAAACGGAAGAACCCTCGGATAAAGAGAAAAGTGAGTAATTTATATGTGTGTATTTGTAGTATCAAACAGTGGAATGCTGATAAAAGTTCTCTTTATTAAAAATTAAAAAAGGATCATCTTTTTAATCAAGAATCATAATTTAAAATAAAAAACCAAAGAGTCAGCAACAGGTACACATTTATCTTGTTTCAAATTAATTTCAAATTGGTAGATATTTATTGAAGAATTAAATAGCTTCTTATTTTATGTTCAAATCATAACGAAATATATTTTGAATTTTAAAGAATTATTGAATTGATTTCTTTGTACCCCTAGAACTGAAAGAAATATTAGAGGAGAATCGGAACCTAAAAGAACAGAAGCTGTGTAAGATTTGTCTGGACGAGGAGGTGGGGGTGTTATTTGAACCCTGCGGACACATCTGTTGTTGTGCCAGCTGTGCTGCCCCGCTACAACAATGTCCGATATGTCGAAAACCCATCCAAAAATCACTCAAGGCTTTTATCTCATAAGATTATAACACATCATATTGCATATTTTATTGTATATTTATAAAAAATACAGTAAAACACACTTATAGGGAAAATGCTTTCAATGAACAGATGCTTATAGACACATATAGAAGTGATCTTCATTCACCTTGATTTTATAATATATATCATAAATTTATTGGATATAATGAATGATGCTCAAGCAAGATCGTCTATCCCTGGCATATCACTATACTTGTGTTTTACTGTATACACAAGATGGAGAAAGAGAGAAGATTCATCTTGTCAGTTTTATATTGTATATGGGGACATTTTAACCGCCCACACCCTTCTAGTTTTTCGCCTTATCCACACTATTGATGGTTTTCCTATGAAATATTTTGCCGCGGAGTTATTCCCCTTAGCCGCCATCTTGTAGGGCAAAGTAATGAATTTTCCTCTTTGAGCTACCAATTTTAAACATGCATGCCAGAAATACAAGGGGGAAAATATTTACAGTCTTGGAATTATGAACCAAAAGAGGCTTTAGCAATATATATATCCATATAGTGTTATCATTACCTCAGTAACCATTATAACAAATTGAACTTAGTTGAATATTGAAGGAATCTTGGAATGTTAACCTACAATATGGCAGCTATGGGGAATAATTCTTGCTTAAATCACCTCAATGGAAAACCATTTATTAACCTTTGCATGATTCACAATAGAAAATCTCTGAGTGCAGTGCATTTTCAGACATTGGTGCATACTTTTTTTAAATGCCTTCTTATTCCATGGTGTAAACATTTTCCTTTCTTAAAAAAGGGATATATTTTAATGAGCAGCTACTATGTTTGAATTTTGTTATGTTTTTTTATATCTGTTATGGCTGTGAATTTTCTCAGGGTTATCTTTAGTAAGTAAATCTAAAATTTAATTTGTCTGGTTTTGACTGGAAACTAAACTGCTTGCTTTTCAAAATTGAATACCCTAGGTATTTCATGGTATTACAAATAATCTTGTTAAAAACAGAACTTTAAAGATATCCCTCCATTTTTGTTATTTTTGCAAGTTTGTTGATTTATTTCATTACTCAAGCTTCATTTTAAGCCTTCCATGTTGACGGCCTCACTGTAGTATGTGAAAATGGAGAAGTTCTGTCACCCATGGAAGAGAAATGATCTCTTCCTATTTACCCAATCATGGAAATTGAATAGTATTAATGTTAACTTTCGAATGAGCCAACAAAAAAAATATAATTTTAAAAGTTTAAAGCATATTGCCATTATGGTAATATATATACTTCATTCAAACTTGATACATCTTTATGCAAGTCTGGTCCAGGGACAACTTATATATAGTTACTTGGATATAGACATGTAATCACTGAAATATAATTCTGATGTACAATTTCATTTTTAAATGATGTGTAACTCTATTATATAAACAGATTTCTGTACTTATTACAAGAAGTTAATTTATAATTGCCCAGAGGGCCAAGTGAGCTTATGCTATTATATAGCATCTTTTTTTTTTGATGAATTGTAAAATTAAAAAAATCTCTTGAAACAATTTGACAAATTTTTTTGAAACTCTTTGATAAATGTTGGGCATGTCCTCTAATAACGAAAAAAAATGGGAGATACAACCCCTGAAATGCAAAAGTCTGGTGATTTTTTTTAGATTTTTAATTCTTGAAAATATTAGAGTTTATATCTCTAGTGATTGAAACAAATGTAAATTTAACTCCAGATTATACAAAATTTGTTATGAATTTGTTATTTGTGTAGTTTTTGCCTGCATTTATATATTTGAAAATCATATGCTAAATGTATATTATTAAAATAGAAATTGTGAACTACTGTATACAAAAAGAGCGCATTTAGCTATCAGACAAGTTTCATGTACCTCTGAACTTTCTAAAGTTTGTGAATTATAGATCTTAGCTTCATTCAAATATTGAATTTTTTCACCTGGCTACAACAAAGTGAGCAATTTCATCCAAAAAAAAAAAAAAAAATCAATGGTCCATGTTAGGCCTAGGCATATTTTACTGCTTTTACAAACACAGGGAAAAAAAATACATCTTTATAAATTGATTTTGTCTGAAATTATTGGCCTCAAAACATAAAATTTAAATACTATGTTTTTGGAACATAATACTGTAAACACAAATTTTTTTGGATAATGATTTCCTGGTTATCAAAAAAAAATTTGGACTATAATGATTTTATTGTTTTGTTAAAAATATAAATATAGTAAAATAAAAATTTCGGAGATTCTTTTTTTGTTGATATTGTTAATAATGAAATAAATGGGTTTGGGGATAATCCCCCACAAATATTTCAACATTTTACATCTGGGTTAGTGCCTATTCGATCAAATTTTATGTTTGTAGGTCAGTCAATATAGTATATGTATGTATATAAAGTCTTCTTTTTATCAGGGCCAAAGATAAACGATTAAAAGTGTGCCTGTTGATAAAGAGCTATTTTGATGTTGTGTAAATATTCAGGAGCCTAATCTTAGCTCAGTAATCCTCTTCTTAACCCTAAAATTTGAAACCTGTATATTGTGCTGAATTGAACCTAGAATGTATTGAAGTTTATAATACAGTTTCTCACAATCAGTGCTTTTGCTGACTGACCCATTAACCCCCACCACCAGCCAGTAAGAAATTAAAGCTTCAAGAATTTATCCATATGTATATGATAAACTGAAGATTTTGAAGGCCAATTGAAAATGTAGGTATAGTTACCTTGATAGATGTACAAATAAGTACACAGAAATTTTATGTATTGGTGTTGAATTAGAAAGAAAAAAAAATCATCTTAGTAATTATATTTTACATGTCTTTAATTATTTTAATTCTAAAAATCTGTTGTTCAAGTATTGAAACTTTGTTGAACTGTCAGTTTTTGTTATACATACAGTATATGCACATTTATTGATTTTGACTAATTAATGTCCAATTATTTTATGTATTACAGTACATATGTATATAATGTAGATGTTTTATTTTTACTTTATTAGTGTAAAGTAATTGGTGAATGAACATTAAGTAGTAATGCAATGTATCTCAAAATATTAATATTGCTACTGTACATATATTTATGAGAATTTAAAGAATTTTAACTATAAATTCACAGATGTTTCTTACACACAGTTAAAATCTGGTTCATAGCACACCACACTGGGAGAATTTATCGAAATTTGTTTACCTTTTTATGAGGGAACTTGCAATTACTTTGTGTCTCTTCTAGCAGAGTGGCGCTTGTTTCTTTTTTTAATTCTGGTACGTGTATTACATGTACCATTTTGCTATGTGTTGTAGATTTGGATATTTCGGATATTATTTTTTCCCTGCATTGTTATTTTATTTTAATCACAAAGGTTTTTACTTTGTTTATTAAAAATCAGTATATTGCAAATAAAAATGTAAATACATATATTTATTAATTGTGTTAAGATGTGAATAATACACCTTTTGGAACCTGAATCGAGGAAACAATGAAAAGTTAATTATAATTTTAACACAGGAAGCCCATGGGCCACCACACTCATCTGAGTCATAGCTCATCAGCAGTTTTTTTTTATATATATTATGTAAAACTTTCATCCCTATTTTCATCTCAGCCTACCCCCAGGTGTCATGATTTTACAGTTGCAGCCTCACCCCCTACCCCCTGTGGTCATTATTTCAACAAACTTGAATCTACACTACCTTGGAATGCTTCCATATAAAAACTGGATGACTGGCCAAGATTTTTTCCCTTTATTTTTCTATGTAAAACTTTGATCCCCCATTTCGGCCTCACCCTACCTTTACACTACCTTGGAATGCTTCCATATAAGTACTGGATGACTGGCCAAGATTTTTTCCCTTTATTTTTCTATGTAAAACTTTGATCCCCCATTGCGGCCTCACCCTACCCTGGGGGTCATGATTTAAACAAACTTGAATCTACACTACCTGAGAATGTTTTGATTTGAACTAACTTGAATTACAGTATGTAAAGAAGGCTTCATATAAGTTTCAACATTTGGTCCAGTGGTTCTTGAGAAGAAGATTTTTAGCTCTTCTGAGCCAAGGGCTCAAAGAGCTAATGCTATGGCCATTTGTGCGGTGTGCGTAAAATTTTCAGAATATGGGCCATAATTCAAGAACCCCTTGGCCAATCATTGTCGAATTTGTCATAGGGTATCCTTGGCCCAAGGGCTACCATTTATACTAAAACTAGGGGTGGGACCCTAAAACTAGGGGAGATAATCAGGAAAATAAAACCAAAAGTACTGGTTGCTAAAAAATCTTCTTCAGAACCACCAGGGAGATTTTCACCAATCTTACATCAAGGATCAGGATATGTTGAAGATTAAAAATTGTTCAAGGCATGACCCTGGAGCAAGGGGCGTGGTCTCAAGGTCACTTCAAAGTTGACCAAAATTTACACTTAATTAATAAAAACGTTGATATGACAAAGTTTGATGATTCTAAGCCAATTAGTACCTGAGATACTTAGTAATTAAAAGTAGGTCATTGTGTCGTACTTTTTGGTAGACATTCTCTGAAAACCAAAGAACCCTCAACTGACAAAGTTTAACAATTCTAGGCCAGTGAGTACCCAGGATACTTAAATATAGCCATAAAATTCAAAACAAGGTAACAGTGACCTACTTTTTGTTCAGCATTCTTTGTAAACCCAAGTTGCATCAACTGACAAAGTTTGATGATTCTAGGCCAATAAGTACCTAACAAACTTAAATATAGCCATAAAATGTCAATCACAGTAGGTCATTTCGTGACATATATGTATTTTTGGTGGCAAGACACTTTCCGAAGACCCAAGATGCATAAACTGACAAAGTTTGATGATTCTAAGCCAGTAAGTACCTAAGAATCGTCAAACTTTGTCAGTTAATGCGTCTTGGGTTTTCGGAGAAAGTTGACCATAAAGTAGGTCACAATGACCTACTTTTGAATATCTCAGGCACATATTGGCTTAGAATCATCAATCTTTGTCAATAAATGTATATTGAGTCCTCCAAAATTTTCAAATCGAAAAGTAGGTCACCGTGACCTACTTGTGGTATTTTTAGCTATACTGAAATATTTTCAGTCCTAACTGGCTAAGAATCATCAAACTTTGTCAGTTCATGCATCTTGGGATACTTAGTTTAAGAGGCTTCAAATAGAAGTGATAGATTGTACAATTTATCAGAAGAGCAATTCAAGGCCCTTGGGTCTCTTGTTAAATGATGATACCAGATTTTCACTAATTATTAATTATATCCCGTTTGAACAAATTTGAATCCCCTTTACCCAAGGATGCTTTCTGGCAAGTTTGGCTGAAACTGCCCCACTCATGGTTCTGTGGAAGAAGTTGAAAATTTGAAAAAGTAAGGAGATATACATGTATGCTAGCTGCTGTTTGCAATTGCAGTGTCTAGTTATTGATACATTCAGTCATTGGACATAATAGATATTTTGCTTGCTCTCACTTCTCTGTCTATCATTGCAAGATTCAATATATATAAATATGAAAAGAAACATCTTCCTGGGGGTTCAAACTAAGTTTACTGATCATTGACAACTTTTTTTAATCACACACAGAGGTTTCTTTTGAGAGAGAGAGAGAAAGGGAGAGTTTTCATTTTGAAGAGAGAGAAGAGAAACACTTGTGTGCAATTAAACTTAGAAGGCTCTTGTTTTATGATAGATAAAGCCTCAATTGTTTTAGCAAGCAAGCCCTCCCCTACTATTTTCATATTCATACTAAAAGACTCAATGAAAGAAAACGTATTGGTCACCCTGCTGACTTAACAAGTTCTAATAAAAATGCTGACAATGATTACATGGAATATATATTTTTCAAAATTATTTTTTAATCAACAAAGTACAAGATCATTAACATTACAGTATAACACAGCTTATAAAGAGCACCAAATTAACAAATACATATTTTTTTTGTATAACTATGTTGCATTAAACATGTTTAAATCAATAAATATGGGCCTCATAGGTCCATTTGAGTATCATGTAACAACTTTCCATCCATTGAATTTGGTTTGTGTTTTAAGCCAGAGGCCATGAAATTCACAATTTTGAAAGAGGCACCATTGCCATGCTTATCATTACTATACACTTCACATGCTTAGTTTGATTACTAAATAGCCAGAGGCAGAGCGGAGAAACAAAGAAAAAATGCATTTCTACGATATTATATGCCTCTGAGAACCCCTGACCCTGGGGCCATGCATTTCACAATTTTAGAAGAGACACCTTTACTCATCATAAATACGCATTTAGTTTGTTTGTTTAATACCCTGGAGCAAAGGAGAAGCAGAGGCAGAGGAGCCCCATCCCTTAGCTTCAGGGGGAGGGGCCATGGACTTCATGATAATTTGTACTCCTTTTCACCAATAGATGTTACATGCTAAATTGGTTGATAAGTGGTTCACTGGTTTTAGAGAAGGAACTGGAAATGTTGACGCACAATGGACAGACAAAAACAGATAGCAATAGGGCACCTGAGTTTACTAAGGGGACCTAAAAAGATATACTTTAATATATAAATATATTTTAATACTTTGGCAAGGTTTGAGCTTAATTTAAAAAGGAAATAATTTCATGCATATAAGATTCACTGCAAATGGTGCTGCATTAAGAGATGTCTTATTTCTTGATACTGCAATTTGAAAATTAGGCCTAGGTAAATAAACTGTGTGTTTCTGGTTCCCTTACCGACCCTAAAATATATGAAAAATTTATCCAACGAAATTTCTCAGGAAGTAAACAAATCTGGTTTCACTGTTTGAAATCCTAATTTGGATCACTTCCATGTTTGAGAAAATGGACATATCCTATACGCGTTAATCAGGAATGTTTTTGACAGAGATTTCTGATCCCTGTTGAATTTTTGAACAATTAAATGGAAAAATAAAATGTTTTCCCTACCTACCTACCCTATTTTTTCTCAGGTTGGCAAAGGAAACACACTTCATATATCTTGGCCTAAGGTTTAAAACTGACACAAAATTATATAATACAAAAGTTATAGAAAATATTAAAATAAAAAGTTAAATGGAGGCTATCGCTAAAAGTGGATATGGAAATTCAAATATTCTACACTGAGAAATTTTGTTGACTTGTACCTTTAAAATTATACACCGTATTTTCTTGCAACTACAAATGTACCGATTAATTTAGGTTCCTGTACAGTCATGACAATGATCCATTAAAATGAAAATTTACTTTGCATTTCATTCAGAATTCAAAAAAATCAAACTATGAATGGATCCAGAACCTGGTCTCTCAGAGAGGAATACATCCCTATATGTTTAAAAAGATTGGGCTGAATCAATAAAGCTTTTAACTTTGGATTGAGTTTTCTTAATTTATCAATTGCAGTGTCTTTTCCAAAGCCACTCTTGCATCTCACAGACTTCAGATATGATGAAATGGCACGAAAACCTGGTTTTGTGTACACAATGGCAGGAGTACAGCAAGATGGGGCTGGGGTGACTTGGTATAAATATTTGGAGATCCTCCTCAAGGCTGTGAAATTCTGTCTACCTACAGCCAAAACAAATAGACTCGAATACATAAAGAATCCCAGCCATATTATTTTTCGATGATTTGCTTCACTTGGATAAATGGTCAAATAAGCTTTGACGAAACATGTCGTCAAAATCAATCCCAAACAAAAGAGCTCTGGAAGGCGTTCCTTCTCTAAACTTATGTAGCCAAGTGCCGATCAGGATGGTATAGTTTAATGAAGGTGATATTTGATTGATGAGGTCCAGTTTGAAACAGTCCCATAGAATAAAGATGATGGTCAGCAACAGATATCATATCCTCATTTGGTAATGCGTCATCTTCCACTAGAAGAATGTTAGAAACATTCTGCTTAAATGCCTGCTCTCCACAATAAATGTAGTCTTCTTTTTCTTTTTCTAGAGTTTGATCTACAGACCTTTGAAATAATGGCCTTGAGGAAGAGTTTGAAAATTTATTGAATGTAGTAACTACTTTTGTTAGATTTTGAAGCTCAAAGTAGGAGGATGGTTCATCATCAACATTACATATGAATAAGGAGTATGTCAGTTTTAAATGTTTTGTTTCATTGAGAAGTTGGAGAGTCTTTCCTACAACTTGTGTTAAGTACTTTGGTTCATACTGATCAAATGTATGTCGATTTCTTGATACAGTAATGATCGTGATACCAATGTCAACAGGCTCTGGTAAATAGAGTTTATTTCTCATTTCACCATAGGCAGTAATGTAGGTCTGAGCCTCTTGTATCCTTTGATCATTCACTTTCCTCACTACTTCTTGCACATGAGATTTGTCCTTATTGTGCCAAACTTTGTCATATGCTGTATATCTGTACCTTGGTGACAATAACGGCAGTGCGACAGAGTATGTCACCAGCGTAATTAATCCCAAACGTTTCAAAAACCTGTCTCTCCATGTACGTCTGCACAATCTTCTCATCATAAAAACAGGGATTTATCTGTAAATGAAAGCACAATCGTAATTAATTTTAACCACACTATCAAGATAATATAAACAGAATTGCAGAAGTGCTAAAAATGAATGGAAATAGTAAAGTTAATCAGCGCTGTCCAGCTTATGGTATATTTCATGTGTCCACTCGTACACAAATCAGAAGCCAACTCGTATGCAAATCAGAAGTCAACTCGTACACAACGTTTTGTTTGTAATTATTTTATATGAATAATGTATAATCTAAAAAAAAAATAAAATAATGACAAAGAGAAGTGTTAATTTAATTTTTTTCATAAATACTTTAGTGGTTTAACATTTGAAATCAACCGTGACTTCTCTCTATAGGAATTTTAAGATTTCTTTGATCTGCGACAAACGCTAATTACGAAATGCTCCTATAACCAAAATCATGTCACAATTTCTTCATTTCTTAAACTTCACCATGGTTTGAGAGACGTGTTAACCTGCCGTTTTTTTTTTTTTTTACTTTTTTAAATTTTATAAGTTTTTTTGGAAATTGTAATGATACGATATACCATTAAAATCTTACGGTGTATTTCAATCGCATTTACTATCTACATTATATCTAACGATGAACGTTACGGTGCTATAAAATTTCTAAAGTATATCAGTTTATATTTATATCCACATATTACTTGCATAAAAGAAAACTAAATTTAAAATGTAAAATTAAACATTTCTTGTTGTTGTGATGTTTAACAATTAGAAATCAAATTCAATGAAATTGATTACCTGGTATTTTGTTTCAAATATAAAATATATTTTAATTTACAATTAAATCCACAGAATCAAAAAACTAACTTCTCATTTATGTATCAAATAAATATATATTTAAATAATAAAAATGTGTAGGAGTTGACGCCTCAGAATTTAATTACGCCGAGAAAATGTTGTAAAAAAAAAAACAAAAAACAAAAACAATCTGCGCATATAGGTAAAATCAGAGATATAAAAAGATTAAAATGTACGAGAAAAATCTTTGTGTACGAGTTGACCCACTCAATATTTGTACACTGAGGAAAACGATACCTTAAATCACGTAATGACTTGCCATCAACAGTGCCATCTACCACTCGCCTCTTTGCCGAGGACACCTTGTTGTATATAGGAGGATAAGGACAACAGAGGAGCAAGCCATTTTACAGAGCGACTTAGATAAGCTTCAGGAGTGGGACAGATGGCTCATACAGTTCAACCCGGATAAGTGTGAAGTAATGCGGGTTACAAACCGGAAATCCCCACTTTGCGCTGATTATACAATACACGGCCAAGTCCTGAACACTGTCGACCCTGCCAAATATCTTGGTCTCATAATCCACAAGAACCTTAGATGGGATACGCACATAGATAAGATTACTAAGAATTAAGGCCATTTCCACCCTGGCCTTCCTCGGCAGAAACATCAGCCGGTGTCCAACTAACATCAAGGCATAATTCTGAAAAAGTCTACAAATACGGCCACTTTTTAAAGCTATTTTTTCGATAATTAATTTAGAGCGCAGCCTCTGATCTAAAATATGCAACCAGTAAATGATAGAACTGTTTCTGAGGATTTAAAGACATGTTTTTTTTTAGATCAGAGAGTGCGCGCATATTATTTTTCTTTACTGAAAGTATTCAATTATACCTGTTTACCTTAAAATTCAAGAACATTGCAATTTCATAAAACCAGTTTTCCAAGACCTGGGCTTTTAGGAGAAAATTTTTAATACGAAATGAAAGCACTAAGACTCTATTTTATTTTAATGCTTCAAATGGAAAATCAAGTGTTAATCAATCAACTGGTATATCTACAGGGCTTTAGGCATAAATTGAAGCTCTTTAATCCCTCACGAACTTTTCTGCTTCTACAGTATGCAGGTGTTTTCTTATAATTGGTGAATGAACATTGTAGTAATGCAAGGTATCTCAAAACTTTGCTACTGTACATATATTTATGAGAATGTAGACGCATTTAAAACAACCTACTCAGTATATTTTTGGATGCATATATATTTAAGTAAATCGCGGATGTCTAATTATATGAGCTATGGAAAAGGAAACTGATCAACAATTGGTATTGATATGCATGTCATAATTTTGTCATTGTTGCTTAGTGGGGAGAGCCATTGCTTTAAATGCTTTCCTCTGACGTATATGTATTTCTATGCTACAATACTATATTTTTCTTTGGATATAGAAGAGTTCGATCCCTTTTTTGATTATTTCAGCTAAAATACTTTTTTTTTCTTAAATGATAATTTTTCTGTAAAAGTGAGAATTGTTTGACAAAGAATGATTAAAATGAACAAAGAATGATTAAAATTAAATTTAAGCAAGCTTAAAACATGTACCGGTACTATAAGTAGAGAATTACATTTATTTACGAATTTTGTTTGAAATTACCCTTTTTAGCTCACCTGAGCCAAAGGCTCAAGTGAGCTTTTCTGATCACATTTTGTCCGTCGTCCGTCCGTCCGTACGTCTGTCTGTCCATTTGTTCGTCTGTCTGTCCGTCTGTAAACTTTTCATATTTTTGACTTCTTCTTAAGAACCACTGGGCCAATTTTGACCAAACTTGGTACAAAGCATCCTTGGTTAAAGAGGGGTTAAAATTTTTAAATAAAGGGCCAATTTTTGACAAAAATAGGGTGGGGTCATTAAAAAATCTTCTTCTCAAGAACCACTGGGTCAGAAAAGCTGAAACTTATGTGGAAGCATCCTAGAGTAGTGTAGATTCTAAATTGTTCAAAGACCCCCGGGGGAAGTCCCACAATGGGGAATCAAAATTTTACATAGAAAATAAATAAGGAAAAATCTTTGAAAATCTTCTTCTCAAGAACCACTTGGCCTGAAAAGCTGAAACTTATGTGGAAGCATCCTAGGGTAGTGTAGATTCTAAATTATATAAATCATGACCCTCGGGGGAAACAATGGGGAATCAAAGTTTTACATAGAAATATAAAAAAATCTTTGGAAATCTTCTTCTCAAGAACCACTGGGCCAGAAAAGCTGAAACTTATGTGGAAGCATCCTGGGGTTGTGTAGATTCTAAATTGTAAAAACCATGACCCCTGGGGGAAGGGCGGGGCCACAATTAGGAATCAAAGTTTTACATAGAAATATATAGACAAAATCTTTGGAAATCTTCTTCTCAAGAACCACTGGGCCAGAAAAGCTGAAACTTATGTAGAAGCATCCTGGTATAGTGAAGATTCTAAATTGTCCAAATCATGACCACCAAGAAAAGGGCGGGGCCACAATGGGGAATCAAAATTTTACATAGAAATATATAGGAAAAATCTTTGAAAATCTTCTTTTCAAGAACCACTGGGCCAAAAAAGCTGAATCTTATGTGGAAGCATCCTGGGGTAGTGTAGATTCTAAATTGTTCAAATCATGACCCCCGGGGGAAGGGAGGAGGCCACAATTGGTAATCAAAGTTTTACATAGAAATATATAGGAAAAATCTTTGAAAATCTTCTTCTCAAGAACCACTGGGCCAGAAAAGCTGAAACTTATGTGCACAAGGAAGGACCCTGGGGTAGTGTAGATTTCAAAATGTCTTAATTATGATCAGTGGGGTAGGGTGGGGATGCATTATGTATTACAAGGGGGAAATCTGGTAAAGAACAGAATGGTCAAAGCTTCTCACGTGAGCGATGTGGCCCATGGGCCTCTTGTTTTTCTTTTTTTTTTCCCAGAGAAAATGCATTCTAAAGTCTTAACGAAATACTAGTTTCTCAATTATTAATATTATTTTTTAAACTCTGAATTCACATATGTTTCTTACACACAAATAAAATCTGGTTCACAGCATGTCACCCATGTCACCACATGAGGAGAATTAATCGAAATTCAAATACATGAACCTTTTTTGTGACGGTTCTATGTGTTGTAGATTTGGATGATTTTGGGGATATTGTTTTATCCCCTGCATTGTTGTTTTATTTTAATCACAGAGGTTTTTACTATGTTTATTAAAACTCAGTAAATGGCAAATAAAAATGTAAAAACATATATTTAATTGTGTTGAGATGTGAATAATACACCTTTTGGAACTTGAAAGAATAGAGGAAACAATGAAAACTTAATTTTAACACATGAGGCCCATGGGCAATTTTTTTAAAATTATATATTCTTATGTAAAAGTTTTATCCCTTTTTTCATTTCAGCCTACCCCTCACCCTATCCACCCCCATTCCTGTGGTAATGATTTCAACAAACTTGAATATACACTACCTTGGAATGCTTCCATATTAGTGTGGTTGACCAAGATTTTTTCCCTATATTTTCCTATGTAAACTTTGATCCCCCATTGTAGGTGCACCCTTCCTTGGGGGTTGTGATTTAACCAAACTTGAATCTTCACTACCTGAGGATGCTTTCACATCACTTTGCTGTACTTGAGATTTTTTAATGTGTTCTCATTTAAAACATTGATTTCACATTGCTTCCACACACTATCTCAGAGGATCATGATTTGAACAAACTTGAATTACAGTTTAAGGTCCAATAAGTTTCAATATTTTTGGTCCAGAGGTTCTTGAGAAGATATTTAAATGATACTCCAAATTTTCACTAATTCTTAATTATATCCCCTTGAAAGCGGGTGTGGCCCTTCATTGGAACAAATTTGAATTCCCTTTTCCCAAGGATGCTGTGGCAAGTTTGGTTGAAATTGGCTGAGTGGTTCTGTGGAAGAAGTTGAAAATTTGATTAGTTTACAGACAGACAGATGGATAGATGACGGACAAAATGTGATCATAAAAGATCTCTTGAGCTTTCACCTCAGCTGAGCTAAAAACAAAGAAAAAAATTAACATGATTAAAGGAAATAAGTAAGAAGTTTTTAGAACTTTTGCTCAATCCCAATTGTAAAGTATATACAATAAAATATGTTCAAATCATTAAAGGAAATGTCTATTCTAATTATTATCACACAAGCTAATTTCTTGATCAGAATATTTAACCAAAAAATTAGACAGTTTCCCACCTGCAATCCGGAGCTACCAATATTCCTTTAACTTGTTGACCACTGCACTGTTGGAGTGTTTTCAAGGAAAAATATATATATGCTGCTATTTGCAATTGCAGTGTCTAGTTAACTGATACTTTCTGTCACTGGGACATGATAGATATTTTGCTCTCACTTCCCCCTTTCTCTCATTGCAAGATACAATATAAATATGAAAAGATACCCCTTACTGAGGATTCAAACTAAGTTTAATGATCATTGACAACTTTTTTAATCACACACAATTAGAGGTTTCTTTTGAGAGAGAGAGAGAGAGAGAGAGAAAGGGGGTTTTCATTTGAGAGAGAGAGAAAGAGAGAGAGGAGAAACACTTGTTTGCAATTAAACTTAGAAGGCTCTTGTTTTATGGTAGATAAAGCCTCAATTTTTTTTAGCAAGCAAGCCCTCCCCTACTATTTTCATATTCATACTAAAAGACTCAGTGAAAGAAAACTTATTGGTCACCCTGCTGATTTACATGTAACAAGTTGTAATAAAAATGCTGACAATGATTACATGGAATATAATTTTTTCAAGATATTTTTTTAATCAACAAAGTACAAGATCATTAACATTACAGTATAACACAGCTTATAAAGAGCAGCATATTAACAAATATACATTAATTTTTTTTTGCATTATTATATTGCATTAAACATGTTTAATAAATAAATATGGGCCTCATAGGTCATTTGAGTATCATGTAACAACTTTCCATCCATTGAATTTAGTTTGTGTTTTAAACCAGAGGCTATGAAATTCACAATTTTGAAAGAGGCACCATTGCCATGCTTATCATTAATATACACTTCACATGCTTAGTTTGATTACTAAATAGCCAGAGGCAGAGCGGAGAAACAAAGAAAAAATGTATTTCTACGATATTATATGCCTCTGGGAACCCCTGACCCTGGGGCCATGCATTTCACAATTTTAGAAGAGACACCTTTACTCATCATAAATATGCATTTAGTTTGTTTGTTTAATACCCTGGAGCAAAGGAGAAGCAGACGCAGAGGAGCCCCATCCCTTGGCTTCAGGGGGTAGGGGCCATGGACTTCATGATAATTTTTACTCCCTTTCACCAATAGATGTTACATGCCAAATTGGTTGATAAGTGGTTCAGTGGTTTTAAAGAAGAAACTGGAAATGTTGACGCACAATGGACAGACAAAAACAGATAGCAATAGGGCACCTGAGTTTACTAAGGGGACCTAAAAAGATATACCTTAATATATAAATATATATTTAATTTGGCAAGATTCAATGCTTAATTCAAAAAGGGAATACTTTCACATGTATAAAGCTCACTGCAAATGATCTTGCATTGAGAGATGTCTCATTTCAAATGCAGCAATTTGAAAATAAGGTATTCAGCACAAAACTGATAAAATGTATAATACAGCATAGAAAGATAAACATCATAAAGTTGCAATGGAGGCTAATTAAATTTGGAAATTTCAAATATTTTGTTCCTTACAATCATGACAATGATCAATTAAAATATACTTTGTATATGATTCAGAGTTCAAAAACATCAAACTATAAATGGATCCAAAACCTGGTCTCTCAGAGAGGAATACATCCCTATATGTTTAAAAAGATTGGGCTGAATCAATAAAGCTTTTAACTTTGGATTGAGTTTTCTTAACTTATCAATTGCAGTGTCTTTACCAAACCCACTCTTACATCTCACAGACTTCAGATATGATGAAATGGCACGAAAGCCTGGTTTTGTGTACACAATGGCAGGAGTACAGCAAGATGGGGCTGGGGTGACTTGGTACAAGTATTTGGAGATCCTCCTCAAGGCTGTGAAATTCTGTCTACCTACAGCCAACACAAATAGACATGAATAGACAAAGAAACCCAGCCATATTATTTTTCGATGATTTGCTTCAATTGGATAAATGGTCAAATAAGCTTTGACGAAACATGTTGTCAAAATCAATCCCAAACAAAAGAGCTCTGGGAGGCGTTCCTTCTCTAAACTGATGAAGCCAAGGAGCCGATCAGGGTGGTATAGTTTAATGAAGGTGATATTTGATTGATGGGGTCCTGTTTTACCAAGTCCCATGGAAAAAAGATGATGGTCAACAACAGATATCATGTCCTCATTTGGTAATGCGTCATCTTCCACTAGAAGAATGTTAGAAACATTCTGCCTAAATGCCTGCTCTCCACAATAAATGTAGTCTTCTTTTTCTTTTTCTAGAGTTTGATCTACAGACCTTTGAAATAATGGCCTTGATGAAGAGTTTGGAAATCTATTGAATGTAGTTACTATTTTTGTCAGATTTTGAAGCTCAAAGTAAGAGGAAGGTTCATCATCAACATTACATATGAATAAGGAGTATGTCAGTTTTAAATGTTTTGTTTCATTAAGAAGTTGGAGAGTCTTTCCTACAACTTGTGTTAAGTACTTTGGTTCATACTGATCCAACCTGTGTCGATTTCTTGATACAGTAATGATTGTGATACCAATGTTAACAGGCTGTGGTAAAGAGAGTCCATTTCTCATTTCACCATAGGCATTAATGTAGGTCTGAGCCTCCTTTATCCTTTGATCATTCACTCTCCTTAATATCTCTTGTGCATGCGATTTGTCCTTGTTCCAAACTTTGTCATATGCTGTGTATCTGTACCTTAGTGATAATAGAGGGAGTGCGACAAAATATGTCACCAAAGTGATTAATCCCAAATGTTTCCAAAATTTGTCTTTCCATAAACGTCTGCACAATCTTCTCATCATAATATAGGGATTGATCTGTAAAAAAGAGCACAGTAATAATCAATTTGAACCACACTTTAAAGATACAAATACAATGTATAATCAATAGTGCTAAAAATGAATGGCAATGGTAAAGCCTGCCTCTGTTATTAATCAGCTCTGTCCAGTTTAGGGTATGTTTCATTTATCAATAAGAAAAAAGTAAAATAGCTTAAACAATAGCTTATTTTTCATAAAACTGACATCAGCAAAACATTACATTTAGTATATGTTTCGAATTTCCTCGACAAACTTGCAGAAAAAGACTGTTAAACTCACTTTACCGTGGAAATTGTGCACAATATCTGTTGAGAACAATTCAACATTTAAGTTTTCAATTTTCTATCTAGTATAGAACAATGCATATGTCGTCTGTTTATAAACTAAACTAACTCATTTTCACATTTCAGGAAAGAGAATCCTCACCGGAAGTGCATTTACTCTCAAATGAAACAAAATATATCGTACCATTACATACTCGTACTGTAAAAATCATTATTTTGATTTAAAATTTTGCTATCTGTTATTTGTAATATGTTCGTACTGAGCAAGTAACATCTTATTTCAACAAAATAAAATTGCAACAACATTTTTGTTTTGTTTTTTTAAGTATGCATATTATCCGGAAAAGAAATCATTGACCTATACCGTGTTTTTGTTTTATTTCGTCTCAATTATTTACAAATCCCCGGATAATGCAAATAAAATTATAAAGTTTTTTAGGATGGCTATACATCAACAGGTACTTAAATTGTTTAGATTGTGTTGTAAATCAACCATATTTTAATTTAATTCATTTCACTGTACATGGCCAGACCCTCTAAACAAAGAACCTTGCCCCAGTCGGCAGTTTACAGCGTCATAACTCAGTAATGACAAACTGTCACTGTTGTGTAGTGTGGACATTCATCAGGCATGTGTTGGATTAAGTCCTAATGAATACTATACAATACCGATTTCTTGCTATATGTGATAAACCTTAGTTTATAAAAAATATATTTAATTTTAATTATTTATTTCATGTTAATAATTTTAGAAAAATATTGAACATCCTTTTTTAACAGTCAGCTGTTAAAACTTATCTTGGTACCCCATATTGGCATAGTTTACACCTTTTGATATATTCACAGTTCAGTCATATGATTGAGAGAATGTGGACATGTATGTTTATATATATAAATGTATTTCAGGGTCAAAAAATGGATGACATGACCAGGATCCTTCCATCCAATTGTTCCAAAGTGTTCGTCCAGAGGGATTTCTCTGATGGTACTGCTGTCAAGTTTCAGACCAAATTTCCCCCTGAACTGGAAGGAAAGGTATGTCAGAGGTCATTTATTTTTACAGTGCAATTGATGTGCTACTATTGTTATGTTATGTGACAGTGTGGTATATTAAACTTTTAAAGATACAAAGGGACCATTTTCAGTTCTGTAGGGAAGAAGTCTTTTAAAAAGGTCATCTGCAGATTGTACATAATTCCTGAACACACAAGTTTTTCCCCAGTGTGACTTTCTTTAAAAAAAAAAAACTACATATCAATACTACTGAAACTTAACAGATACCAGTAGGTAATTACTACAGTTGTTTGAATTTTTTTATGAAATTGCAGGTTGAAAACGAACATTTTGTACGGACCATCAGCACATTGAATACCATGTTTTCGGAGGCCGAGTCACTAACCAGTCGGAATTATTGTGAGAGCTGCTTTGCTTGCCTGACAGCATACCTCAGTTACTTGTGCTTTGACACACATTACGAAAAAGTAAGGTATTTTTTCTGGATGCAAGGGAGATCTATTTCACACATTCATAATATATCTGATAAATGTTAACTCGTACATAGATTTTGATATGATTTATATTATAAATGATTAAATTGTACTGTATAGAAATACTACAAGTTTTTACTTTTACCTAAATGTTTATGTGTATTATAAAATCATTAAAGACATTGTAATTCCAAGAATGAGTTATTTAACATAATTTATTCTGATATTTACATACTTTAAATTTGCAAAATGAATATTGAACAGGTATTGAAGAAGGTTGGGAAGTACATAGCAGAACAGAACCAGACAGTGTATGTCCCGCGAGGTCTTATGTTGGTGGATCCAGTGGAGCGGGGGTTAAGAACGGTGAGTGTTTATACCCTCAGTTAAGTGACAAATAGTAAACATGATCAAAATTTAAAACACCACAATATCCTGCTTATAATTTTTTTCTAAATTAACCTCTTGGAAGAAAAATTTTCTGAAATAATCTTTTTTGATAGTAAGCTACCATGCACTTGATGAAGTTTAAAATTGAGTTGTAGCAAATTTTGAAATATATTTTCATGTATAACATTTAATAATGTTTAATGAATTGTTTTTAATAAAACATATCTAATTCATTGTAGCTTGAAATCTGCATATTAAATGAAACAAATGGAAGATGATGGCAATGCAATATCAAGACAAAAGAGAAAATAAAAGTGAAACAGTTGCTGTCTAAATCCATCATACATGTACCATGGTTTTGTGCTCGATGTTGTGAACAGCGCGCTGTAAAATTACTTCCAAGATTTCTCAATATCTATACTTGGATTCATCAGATTTCTACACAATTAATTTGTGCACCTTGTTCAATAAACTTTATAATTTTGTGCTGTCCACCTTGAACAATGACTTCTAAAGGAACATTTTAGAGCTGTCTATTGACCATGATATCTGTGATTGACGTAAACTTGAATAGAAACATTCCTTGATTTGAGAATGAGTCACTTTAAGTCAGCTCCTCTCAGGGTTCCATTTCTTTTCCACTGCTAATTGAAGTAAAGCTTCAAATTGTGTTGTAATTGGAAGAAAAGAAAATTTTTATAGTTATTTTACTGTAACAATCTTCTTAACATTCATTTTCAGTAAAAAGTTTTATGATCTATAAGTACTGATATCCATACATACATGTATATTAAAGTTTTGTCATATTATACCAAAATACTAAATTTTCACCAATGTCTATGTAGATGATTTCATCCTCTTTGATCTATATTATATGTGCAATTTTTTAGTGTCTTCACTGTTATTTGATAGGAAAGTGGCATTGTAAATCATTTAATTACCAAGGTATTTGATTAATGTGTTGCCAGTCTTCTGTTGCCCAAAGACTGACATTTTTTTTTGAAAAGTACATTTCAAGTTATCTTTTCATTTTAATCCTTGTATTATCATTATCTATAAAAGCAGCATACTGCTACGTTGTCTGAACACCTGAACAATTTATCAAAATGCATGTATATTTGGAAAAGATTTTTTTTAGGAAGTTTAATAGTCCTCTGAAATATAACACCTTTAAACTGTATTTTTTATGCTCTAGACACACTTACAGACTTAAATTACATAAACATGTATTCTTATTTTACTTTGGATGTAACAGCATTACATAACAAAAAAAATCTTAATTTTTGCATAAAAAATATGCATAATATCCAAGCATCATCCCATCAAAAACGACAGTCACCAAAAACGCATTCTAAATTCATTAGTCATCCTTGCAGTATTTAAACTGTATTTTTTATGCTCTAGACACACTTTACAGCTGCAACCATCTGTTAGCCGAATTCACTTTTTCTTTAATCCAGAATTCACCAGGTGCCGGAGGTAAATGCAAGTAATATGTGTTAAATGCAATTTGTAGAAATGTTAACACAAAATAACAGTATCATTCTACCAATAAGATACAAGGGTTACAAAAGGTGTTGAACATTTTAATTATGATACTTGTGTTTTCATCATTGTTCTATTGTGCTAGTCTGAATATGAAGGGGTATTAAGGAAAGAAAAATCACCTTTGAATTGAGTAAGTTAATACTGTGAATAGAACTCCCGATGTTTCTTTCGTGAAATGTTTTTAGAGCTCATGTATTTATTTTTCAATATTTGGATAATTCTATGAATTCTCTCTTAAAAACTTTTTGACTGTGTGTGTTGTTAGATAGCTTTTATTGTTGTATTCATGATAAACATTTATTTTTACATTTGTTGAGCGATCCTGTACTTAAAAGGTGTCATTTTAATTCTGCAATAGTTCTACATGGTTGAAATTTGATGTCTTGACCATCTGTACTGTAGCATATATACATTGTAGTCTGAGGTTTGTTAAAAGGGAGGTCATTGCTCTCAGATGTGTCATTCTGTTGAATCAAAATGTTGATTTCTAAAAGTCCCAAATACATGTATTGCTAATTACATTGTCAGTCAGTCTGAGTCTGTGTTCATGATACCAGAATTTGAAATTTGAATCAACACAGTCTTGATTGAACTTGTAATGATCTGACAATTAAAACATGCATTTTCATGATGTTGTTTAATAGGTAGTAAAAAAGCAACAGAAATAAAATTCATTTATGTTGATTTAGTTTAATGTACAACAGTAAACTGATAGTTTTGTCATCTTTGTAACAATTTAAAAAAGCTCAACAAGATAAATTATTTTAAGAGTGCATATATTTAGTAAAATGCTTCAGTATTCTTGGAATTTTAATGCAGTATTTATTACACTGTGTCTTGTAGTTCCTTGATAAATAAACTCATCTTCGCTTACAATTGTGTGCTTTCTTTTAATTCGCCTGAGCTTTTCTGATCACATTTGTCAACCACCTGTCTGACCATCAGTGACTGTTTATAAACTTTTCACATTTTCAACTTCTTCTCCAGAACCACTGAGCCAATTTCGAACAAGCTTGCCACAAAGCATCCTTGAGTGGAAGGGATTCAATTTTGTTCAAGTGAAGGACCATGCCCTCTTTGAAAGGGAGATAATTAAGAATTAGTGGAAAATTCGTGGTATCTTTTAAAAATCTCAAGAACCACTGGGCCAAAAACTGAAAACTTGAATTCAATCTTTTTTACATACTGTAGATTCAAATTTGTTCAAATCATGAACCCTAGGGGTAGGGTGAGGTTACAATGGGGAATCAAAATTTTACATAGGAATATACATAGGGGGAAAAACTTCAAAGAACAGGAAAGCTATGTTTAGTTATACTGAAATAGAGACATCCTTCAGTCCTGTTTATTCAAATTTATTTAAATCATGACTGCCTAGGGTAGGGTGGGGCCACAATGTGCTATCAGACTTAAACATATGGATATATATGAACTGTTTGCAACCTTTTGCTAAAGAACAGAAACATTTTTAGTCACATTGATATGTCAAGTTGCTATTGTTTTGAAGTAGTGTAGGTACATGAATGTTTAAAACATGATCCTAAGGGGTGGGGACTGGCTACATCTATAAAAATTGTACCAACTAAGGATTAGAAGGGGTCACAATAGAGATAAAAGTTTAATATAGGAATACTGTGAAATCACTTTCACATGCATTTCTGCTAAACATTCTCTAACCACGAAATCAAATCCCCACAAACAATATTTTTCATCAAACCTCGAAAATTTAACCCCATGAAATTATGTGATTCACAGCATATAAAAGAGAAAAATTCTACTGATGAAGAACAACATGGCCATATTGACTCAGATGAGCATTGTAGCCCTTGGGCCTCTAGTCTAGAACACAATTAAATATGACAAATATTGGGATAATTTCATTTTTACGGGCATATCTGTAGCTGCTAGAGTCCAAAAACAATAACATAAGAAACACCAAAGAAAAGAACTCACTTTCTTTTACACAAACTCTTTTATTTGTTTTATGCTCAGAAAGAAGCAAAAGACGCTTTTCAATGATTTAGTCTTCATGATTTAACTTATTAATCTCTTTTAATTAAAACACATGTACGTAACATTTTTTATCCAATTTCTGATTGTTTTTAGTACTCATTTTTGAGTATGACCCTTAGTATACTGGAAAATTACAGATCCAAATTTCCTGGACTTGTTTTTTCCTTCTGAAAGGTGTTTTTTTTTTTCAAGGTTGGAAATAGAAACAAGTCAAAAGGTCAAAGATCTGGCGAATATTTTTACTGTGAAAAAACATGAACTTTCTGTTTATCCCGAAAACCTCTTTACTCTTCAGGGCGTGCGGGTTTGGACGCTGTCATGAAGAAATTTAATTTAGTGCATTCCTGATTCTAGGTCCTTCCTCTAATAAACCTTTCGATTTTTTTGCAAAAAAATTGCTTTCTAGACTCCTCCAGAAATTAAACTGTCTCCTCGAATACGAATTTGAACAACAATACCACTAACATTTAAGAAAATTGCATATAAATCTGTCTTGGTGCTCTTGCAATTCTTTGCTCTTGTCAGACCTTCGCTGTTTTTATCAAGTACGAGGGGTGATCAAAAAGTTCACGAACTAATTGAATAACTTCTAAAAAAGAAATGATATAGGGTTTCAGTGTTGAAATTTTTTTCAAAGTAGTCCTCTCCAATTTTAATGCGCATCTGCAACCGTTCTGCCCATGCGCGGATCACGTGATATAGGCGGTCACGTGACATGCTCCTAAGCGTTCTGTCACAGAAGCTTAAAATATTTTTCAACTCATATTTCTTAACACGCAAGTTATTTTTTACAACAGAAACAGTCCATTTGTTAGAAATGGCCAAATCTCGGCAATAGTGTAGGTGGATAATGATATCCTTTTGCAGTTAAAACCGAAGTCTTCTGTCGTTTATTCCATGTGTTTAAAGTATGGGGGCCTTCATTTTATTATATCTGATATGTTTAAAGTCTAAAATAAACAATATTTTAGGGATTTAATAATTATATTATTGTAAAGATATTCATCTATTTTTCTAACTGTAAGTTGACGATTTTTATTATCAAATTGCTAAAGAAAGGACACGTCTCTTTCCCAGCTTGCTCTCACTGGGCAACAGAACAAACATCATTTGTAAATATCTCCCTTCCTTTACTTAAACAATCAATCCAACTAATGACAAAACTTTTGGCAAGTCTTTTGTTTTTATAAACCGTGTACAAATTATTATAATCTTCTGCAAAGTAATTTCCAAGATGTAAGTTTAAGTTTACAGCCGTTCGTTTCTCGAATACGACTGAGTCAACCAATTTTTGTCACAAGTGATCTACATAAAGACGTCATTTTCACATTGTGACGTCACAAACACGGGTCAAAACGTTCCATTACATATGCTATTTATAGAACATGTATATGACTCTACCTGTGCCAAATTTCATTCTGATCTGAACTGTGGTTTTGTAAATATATAGATAGTTCGCGAACTTTTTGATCACCCCTTCGTACATCTTATGGTAAATTTTGTTTTGAGGGTTTTAAGCAATAGATTCAAGTTCCATTATCTGTGTGAATATCAAACAAACGTGGATAGCTACAATTACTGATATTTTAAAATAATTGTTAAGACAATCGTACACGCTGTCGTTTTCACTCATTTTTCAAAATATAGGGTGACCTATATTGTTGGTGGGGACAAAATGTGCACATGTATAACAGTAGCATTTTTCCGCCCTATCCTACCGGTCATGGTAGCTTAGTGGTTGAGCGTTCGTTTCATGATCGGGAGGCAGGGGTTTGATTCTCGTTCGCGGCACCGCGTCAAACCTAAGACGTAAACATAGGCAGTGACTGTTCCTTTGCTAAACGCTCGGCATTAGAAGTGAAAGTCACAGATCTTTCGGACATGATCTTAAAAACCTAGATCCCGTGTAGGCGTTGGCATGATAAAAAGCACTCACTGCTCAATGGCCATGAGTCATATGAGTGCCGAGTACAGGTCTAAATTTGTAGCTCTTCACCAGCATACGGTGACGTTTCCATTTGAGTGAAAAATTCTCGAGTGGGATGTTAAACAACATACAATCAACAATCTTCCCTTTCTCCCCCTCTTTTCACACACACACACACACACACACACACTCTCATACCCCTCCTCTAAATTGTGTCTCCATCCATACTCTCCTCCTCTCTATATTTCTCTCTCCCCTCTCTTTCATCACCTGAGTAGCACAGTGGTTAAAGCATCTCTCTCCCCACTCACGCCTTCTTTCTGTTTCTCTCTCTCTCTCTCTCCACTCACTCTCTCTTCTCTCCCCATTTCTCTCTCTCTCTCTCTCTCTCTCTCTCTCTCTCTCTCTCTCTCTCTCTCTCTCTCTCTCTCTCTCTCTCTCTCTCTCTCTCTCTCTCTCTCTCTCTCTCTCTCTCTCTCTCTCTCTCTCTCTCTCTCTCTCTCTCTCTCTCTCTCTCTCTCTCTCTCTCTCTCTCTCTCTCTCTCTCTCTCTCTCTCTCTCTCTCCCACTGTCCCGACTCCCCACACTCTCTCCTCTCTCCAATCACTCTCTCTCCCCACTCTCTTTCACACACTCTCTCTCTCAATCCCCACTTCCTACCTCTCCTCCCTCTCTCCCTACACACTTCCCCCTCTCTCTCCCCACTCACTCCTCTCCCCCTCTCTCCCTCTCTCTCTCTTTGCCAAACTCTCTCTCTCTCTCTCTCTCTCTCTCTCTCTCTCTCTCTCTCTCTCTCTCTCTCTCTCTCTCTCTCTCTCTCTCTCTCTCTCTCTCTCTCTCTCTCTCTCTCTCTCTCTCTCTCTCTCTCTCTCTCTCTCTCTCTCTCTCTCTCTCTCTCTCTCTCTCTCTCTCTCTCTCTCTCTCTCTCTCTCTCTCTCTCTCTCTCTCTCTCTCTTCCACTCTCTAACTATCTCTCTCTCCCCACTCCCTCCCTCTCTCTGTCCACTCAGTCCCTCCCTCCCTTTCTCCCCACTTTCTCTCTCTCCCCCTCTCTTTCTCTCCACTAACACCCCCTCTCTTTATTTTTTTATTGTCAATCTGATTCAGATTCCTCCAAATCTATAAAATAAACTATTTAAAGGCGAAATAGAGAGATGTTTCATAGTTAATTTTAAATAGAATATAGTAAGAAAATATTTTATTCTATAAAAGAGAAAACTTACATTGTTTATCCAAAAGAAAATATGAAATGTTTATTCTTGAACATTTTACTTTAAATTTAATTTAGCAGAATTGTTTATCTATACAAAAAATGAATGTAATTTTGAAATGATAAGGGCAATAACTTCGTACAATAGAAAACACTGCTTCCCAGTTTACAATTAGATCATTGCACTGTTTGCTTGCGTACTTAATGAAGTAGAATTTATGTTTCTTGGACAATAAAGCAGCTAGAGAGTAGATCATTAAGATATTCTTTATTTGAAGTTAATGAATAGAGTTTGACATTTACTATTTCTTTCGCTTTAGTTTACTTAAATTCTGATATGATTTATTATGTACATATCGGACTGGGTAGCTCAGTTGGTAGGGTAATGATTGGTGAAGTACGGGTCCCGGGTTCGGTTCCCGATCCAGCCATACATTTTTTTCCATTTCTGTTACAATTCTTTATATTTTTTCAATAATTTTATTCCTGTCCAGACATTGGTGTGTTTACCAAAATGTACATGCATTATTTCTCCCTCGTTGTTCTACGCATTACAAGTAGGCTACCCGGTAAGGTGTACCGGGTATTTTTTCATTGCATATATATATGTTCATTTATTGTTTTATTTAAATGCGTACTGTAAACAAACTTACAGATTACCTCTACTTGTTACATGGCGTCTACTCTGACATAAAAACTCAACAAACCATAGATTTACACTTAACGTTTTGTATGGATTGTGTTAGCAGATAAACCGTTCTTAAAGATCAGTGTACGCTGGTATTTGAGTAAATGTTCACTTTATTACAGGACCAAGTCTTGCCTCTTGGAATTAAAAAAAATTAATTTTAAAAGAAATAGAGTCATTTAATCAGGAATGAGAGCCATGCTAAATACCGTATGAGCTTATAAAATTGTTACACGTGGTTGTCTTATTCTCTTTAGAGAAGTGGACAGGCTTTCGCATAGCACACGCTCCTCACACCATGTAATGTTAAATTTGTTTAAAGTCCCGTTCGAGAATTTTTCACTCACATAGCGACGTTACCATTTACCGGTGAAGGGTTTCACTGGTGAATAGCTACTATCTCATAAAAAAATATTTGTCTCCTTATTAAAAGACTGTGTACATGTTACATGTAAGCAAAATGAATACTATTTAGGACAAAGAAGAATCAAGTCTTACACATTTTTTAATAATCGATGGAAGTAAGAGACTTCTGCAATCAAACGTTGTGACAGTTGAATACTAGTATATATCTAATACTCTCTCCTCTCTCTCTCTGTATATAGATTAATCCTTGGACCAATCACCAAACCTCTAGGCGTTTGATTACTAATGAAGTTAATAAGTGGTCTGAGTTCAATACTTTTCTGAAAGTCTTCAGAACATAACATGATTGAAAAACTTCTTATTAATTCTTGCATAGCTTGCTATTTGGTGATAGACAATTATACCTGATGAAACCAACTGTAAAATTTAAGATGCAGTCCAATTATATATATAAGATTGATTTCAAAAGACTGTCTCTTAATTGAGATTTTGAGATGGTTCTCATATTTTCTTTTCTTCATTCCAGACTCGTCCTTAAAAAATATAAGCAGGGCATTTCTTCGATTATGCGTAGAAAAGGATGATATGGTATTATTAACGAGTTTGTTTTTCACAATGAGTAGATCCTTTCTTAAGAAAGATTTGCCTTGGTTATTCCGTTTCAAATCAATCATCTACGATAATGTCTTTGAAGGAGTAGATCTTGTAATGCGTCCAAGATTTTCGTATAGGGAATTATTGTTTAAAGATGCCTTGTGAAATTGTATGTCTTGAAATATTATTCCTAGTGTGCTTAGAGTGACATGAATCACATTATAATATTAAAGTTTCTTTTCTTTAATGAATACAGTGTCGAGGAAGGATAGTGTATTTCTATTTGATTGCATAGTGAATTTCAATGTAAGGTTAAAAGTTTTGACAATATTTTAAAGATTCCATTATTTGATCTTCAACTTTGTCCCATATGATAAATTAGTTCTCTGAGTAGCGCATATATTACTTCTTTTTAGAAGTTTCAAAGTGCCAACCGAATTTTTCTTTAGTACTAAATAAAACTTGTTTGCAAGAATCCGATAACAAATTTAGCGTACGTTGGAGCAACTATGGTTCCCATAGCAGCAACATTTGATAGAATTGATTATTTTTTTCCTAGTTATATTATAGACTTTAAAAACAAAGTCTTTGTGAAATCTGTAATAAAGATTAGGAAATTTATCTATCTAGTGTTCTATGGCTACAAGTTCTAGATTATGCGAAATGTTAAAATAAAGGTTGATAAGGTTGATAACGTCAAATGAAACTAAAATGGATCCAAAGTTTAAATATTGAGACTAGACAGGTATGACGAATAACATTTATTATGAATCAAATGGATCTTCCTTAGTACTCACATGTAGCTATAAGCGTTTTGTACTCTATACTCAACTTTCTATAAACGTCTGTTCTAGGATGACGTACGTCAGAATTGCAGGAAGGGAAATGCATTTGAGGATATGATATAAATTATTAAATCTGTGGTGTTTTGACAATTTTTTGTAAACTAAATATAACCAATGATTTACTCTGTTGTAAAATATTTATAATTTTCTCACTGGGATTCATTTCGTTTTATTCAGTTACTGTTTCTTCCGACCTTTGTATAACCTTAGCAATCGAGGGACAGAGCATTAATTGCGTGATCAAAATTTGTATGTGCCTAGAGCTGAAGTAATTATCATTAGTTTAGTCTGCTGTCAAAAATTGATTTTTCTCAGAAACTATCAATACAACTTTTATTTTATTTTATTTATTTTCATTTAGTAGGTTGGTACCATTACAGCTTTTATGTACACAAGAAACATAATTTGAACATAGCTTATTAATGAGCATTCGTAAATAAATGGAAAACAGCTGGGATAACCTTTCAGAAACAAACTGCAATGAGATGGAGGCCATTTTACCGAACAATACAGGAAGAATATTGTGTATGTTGTTTCTGTTTTTCATTGCTGGAGTAACAATTTCCGGAAATGTTTTCTTGATCCTTAAAGTGACCAGGAGAGGACAGTTTGAAAGAAAAATCAACGTTTTCTTGATTTCCCTTGCTATAGCTGACTTTTCTATTGGGTTTTTGGTTATGCCATTCTCTATTATTCACAACTTTACCGAAACATTGTTTTTCAGAAATACAGTCACGATTAATATATTTTTTGCATTGGACGCAATGTTAACCATTTCTTCCATCTTCCATTTCACCTGTATGAATATTGATAGATATGTTGCTGTGAAGAAACCGATGAAATATTACCAAATAATGAAGAGAAAGTTGGTCTCCCTCACCCTGATCATTTGTTGGACTATATCGTGTTTAGCCTCAGTGGTTCTTATCTTAACTGCTAAAGAAGGCACCTGCAATCCAAGTGTCGAAGGTGAAGCAACAGTTATTGTTTCCGTATTAGCATTTTATTTTCCACTCGTTTTGAATATTAGTGCCAGTGTCAGTATTTACCTCAAGGTTCGCAATAGAAGCAACCAACTACGTCAGATGACTACGAACGAGAATATAGTACTTCAATCCAAAAGACAAAATGGAGATACTCAAGTGGCTAGAACAATGATAATTTTGCAGAGTTGTTTTATATTGTGTTTTACGCCTTTTTTTCTTTTCCTTATTCTGAAGAATTTCTTTCGTGTGGAATTTTCGCCTTGGTCAATGCTTTTTGTAACATGGCTGGCTTACACCAACTCCACCATCAATCCTTTTCTCTATTACTTCATCAATAATAGATTAAAGTTATCTGATAAAAATAAAGCTTTAAATAAGGACCGTTTCCAATTTACTAATAACAGTTCGACATTTAACTCCGGACAAGACATTGTCCAGACTTTTTAATATCGTTTCTAATTGTGATATCTAAAATATTTTTTATATCAGTTGATTGGATTTCTAAGCAGTGTCCCAGGATCTCATGTTGAACTCACAAACATCTATAAAAAGATGAAGTCCTAAAACTCTGAATGGTGGGATTTTCACCTGGTGGGATTTTTTTCTCCCACAAATTTGTTCAAAAGGGATAAATCCCATGGATATTGACAATGAATCTTTTTCTCCATTACATAGTTAAACGTGAAATATATCCTATAGATTAGGATGAGTGATTTGTCATTGTCATAATTTATGGGATGTATTCCATGTTTCAGAACGGGAGGAAATGTCAGATTGCCAATATCCGTGGTATCTATCCCATTTGAACAAATTCATGGGAGAAAAAAAATCCCAACTGGAGAAAGTATTCCATCTGACATTTTTTTCTCTCGTGGGAGAATGGTGGGATAGTTGGTGGGATTGAAAATCCCACCATTCTCCTATTGGATTCACTATCATGGAGTTTTTTATAGGACTTAATATCTTTAGAATTGGAGATGTATGCGAGTTCATGAGACTCTGGGACACTGCTAAGAAATCCCACCAAGTGTCAGAAAAATATTTTGGATATCACAGTAAAAAATGGAAGTAAAAAGTCTAGACAGTACTGTTAAATATGATTTTGAGTTTTTTTCTTCGATGAAATTTTAATAAGTGTATATACTATGAATTCATTAGATTCATGTACATTTTGGATTACCTGGTATCATTTTTTTCAAAGATATATACTCTCTTTCATCACACCTTCATAAAGTTTTAATGCTCTCTTTTGCTTTGTAATTATATACCTTGTTGAAATAAAACATGACAAAGGTTCCACGTACTATAGTCATTCGGCAAACCTCGGCTGATTCCGTCCGTCGCCTTCGTCAAACATAGATGATGTACGAATCGGCCGAGGTGTGCCGATTGATACTACAGACTGTAGTATTAATCATTTGAAAAGTATTGTCATTACTAAAGTCTTCTGATCTAGCATCTTTACTGACCAGTGGGGACCACTGGAAATTAAATCAATGTAATGTTTGTCATAATTGAGTGTTTTTTCAGTTTATATACTGTAAAATTTCATATTTTAGAGGGGTCAAATTTTCATGGTTTGAGGAAAATATATTTATTCATGGGGATTTGATTTCGTGGTTGAAGAATTGTTCAGGACTAACATATGTGAAAAATTGCATTTCGTGATAGACATAAATTCCTGGGTCTCTTCATACCTTGAAAACTACGAAAACTCTTTACAACTTACTGAGCTGTGACGCAACATGCACTTAATGTCACGTCATAGAAATATGACGTTACCGTTTCCCCGCAAGCACATTATAGCCTGGTACAAGTAATTTCTAAAGTTTAGCGTAAATAATATAATGACATATAATCTTATTCAGAAAATAACTTTTCTTATTCAATGAGATTTAAGCAAGTACAAAAGAGATGGAATTTGGCAATAAATTGAAGATTAAATGAACTTTTTAAAGTGTGTGAAAATGCGTGATTGCGGGGAAACGGTATATGCGTGATTTTGCTTTAGAAATAGGAAAGGGTATATGCGTTAAAATGCGTGACTGTGGGGAAGGGGGTTAAACCTTTGTGAAAATTAGTGATTTCACAGTATTAACTGAAGGCTTAATTTTGCACCAAGTTTAGAGTATGATGTTGCACAATACCTTAACAAGAGTTTTAATATTTCGGCAAGGAGTAAAGATAGATGTTTAGTAAAACAATTGCGCTGGACCAGACAATGTTTCTCTGTTTGTAATGATTTTATCAAGTTTAGGGATCCAATATAGGTTGGGTAGATCAAAGTCACTGTGGTCTAGGAGAATGTTTAAAGTGTGGAAGACAGAAATAATGTGATTTATGAAGATTTCTTCCTTGGAAAAGGATCAGAAAAATAGGTGCTACTAAAAAAAGCAATGTAGACTGTATACAAACATGATTTCTTTAAATCAGACGGCGGGCGTGATCAGTCGACATGTGGATCCGAAAACAATTAAATTTACAATAGAACTATGACTTTATTTGCACATTATAATTTAAATCTTATCATAGCTAGGGTAATTCAATGGAACATCCAGATGCAGTTCTTTTTAATTTCTATCATTTGAAAATGCTGTAGGAATATGGACCATGGATAATAACTCGACGTAAGATATTAAGATTTCTACTGGAAAATTTTGCCGGAGTCAAGATTAAAGACACAGTTCCCTTTAGTCTATTATTTTGCGTAAATCCAATTGCATATTTCGCTATAAATCGTACCTTCAAGATGATATGCT